TCTCAGTCTGGCGAACTTTTTTTTTCCATTATTTTAGTGAGAGGACGGGTGATTCTGTTCTGTCCGGGTGGATGTCATCCGGACAGGAGAGGTTTTCTCGGCGAACGGGCCTTGGTGGACCGCGACCGGCTGGCACTGGCGTCAGGGCTCCTGCCTATAATATATAGAAGGATGGACAGTAATACATACATTTCATTTATTTTATAATTAATTATTTAAGATGTGTTGTTACTTGTAGTGATACATGTATCTATATCTTGATCCATTGTTTATAAAAACTATTTATATGTGGATTTGGAATACATGGAGCGGATCTCGATATGAGATCGTATCGATGGGGGGATTTGGGAACCGAAGGAGTGTACAGAAGAGAAAAATATTGTTCAATCTCTTTTACCCTTGGCCAACAATTCCTCCAGAGGTGGTATCGGCTTAACTTCCCTTTGTGTAAGTATTGTTTGGGTAGTGGAGGTTTCTTTTTCGTCAACGACTTTAAGTTGGAGCAACGAAAGTAAGTCTGTCACGTTACTTTTGCCGGTTTCGTTCAATTCAATCGGTAATATCTTTCTTTCAAGGGTCTCTGAGATCATGGGGGTCTCGAATGTTTCGTTATGGTTGATTAGTTTTTGATGGATCCATTCCAGAAGTACTTGCTTCTGGAAATGAATATCAATGGCCGGAACAATCATTGGATCATTGTCCTTAGATTTGTTGTCTCTTTCTTCTGGGAAAAACAAAGTTGTGTCCTTTGCTGTTTCTCCAATTGAAGAATAATATTCCTTTGTAGGAACACTTGGTATCGCATCCATATCCATATCATCGACAAAATTTGACATCATTGAGTCGATTTTTTTTTTTTTTTCAATATTGGTGTGTAATTTCTTGCCTGACGTTGAATAACGTTCAGTCAATTTTGGGAAATCTGACACACGCTCATCTTCAGCAAATGGCAACCTGTTCAATATGAACACTCTCAAATCTTCAGATTCGTCGCCAATATTCTGTTTGAATATATGTGGTATAAGGGCACACATTTCAACTTCGCTATTAGGCTTTTGAACATATCTAACGATTGCTACTTTATCATTTTCAATCATGACATCTACAAATGCCCCCATAGATACAACATCTGCCAACGTCCCCATTTTTGTATCTGCAAATATGACTCTTGATTCAGAACTCAAGTAATATCTTGGTAACAAATCTTTATCGAGAAACCCACGAATATCAATGCCCGGACTGGTCTTGTAAAACCTTTCATCTGAAATCGAAGATGGCAACACTACATAGTCTGTCCCATACCGATAGGCCTTTGAAATTGAGTTGGCAGAAACACTAACTAATTTTTTACTTTCCTCACCTTCTTTTTTATCTTCTTTACTGTCTCCAATAGGTTCAATTTCATATTCGACAACTGATTTAGTTGGTATATAATTAATTCTTCCTCCTTTATCAGTATCGAGTTCCTCCTTGATTACGTTTTTTCTGGATAAGCTAGTAACAGCCTTTGTTGCTGGGAATCCTTCCACCTTAATTGCTATACTATTTTCATCCCTAGTTTCTGATCTAATAATATCCTTATGGCTCATCTGTTCTATAATATCGGCACCTAAACGCAATTTACCACTGAACACACGTACTGGCTTTACAATTGCTGCCTTGGGTAAAGATATTTCTTCTAATAACGAATGGATATCATATATGCTAGATCCAGGAAGTAATCCCAATAATTTCCCCCATCTTGATTCATCAATCGGTGCCAACTTTGTCTCCCTACAATCGATGAATATGATTCTTGCATCCAACTCTTCTACAAAAACCTCCATTTCCTCATCAGTAAGGTCTAAACCATCTATGTCATCAGTGAAGATAACAATCTGTCGAAGCAATTTACGTTTATTAAAATATTCCTTCATATTCAACGAAGTAACCAGCAGACATTGGACCATAGAAGAAATATCATCTTCCAATGTTTCATCACTTGAACCACTAATCTGATTTTTTACCTTATTAATAATAGAAACTAGACCTATCACATCAGAAGAAGTAATTGGTGCTATAAAGGGTTTAACTTCAAACACATTAGGAATATCTTGAGAATTTGCAGTGACTGGAGAATTACCCAAAAAACAACTGATATAATCAGTTTTCCTAGCCTTCTTGACCTTTGCTAATAATGTATACTCCAAATATGCCATTGCTTTAGACACATTATGGTGTAAAACCATCGATGGTGAAACATCGATGATGAACACTGTTGCTTCGCTCCCCATCTCTCAATTCGAACCCTGGAACAATAAGTCACAGTCACAAATATAAAAAAACAACACTGACAATTATAAAGAGTCAACCTGAAAGTATAGCTTTATCGAAACCCATCTTTATAATCTTTACCTTATGCTTCACTTTCGAAATGAGTTAACTTCCTTTGGTCTGCTCTTAAACTTTTCGAAACTACATTCCGGAACTCCTAAGCTTAAAGGTATCTCTAAAACTTAATCAAGAATAACCATAACAATAACAGATCGTGATCTGGACTTTGTTGGGATGCTTTGATCAGGTACAGATTTTGTTGCAAGAGAGGGTTCAGTTCAATAAAAACATATATAATGACTGTTGGAACGGAGAACTCAGCTTTTAAAGCTTTACCTGGTTACTTTCGTGCCTATGCTAAGAGGGAGGATGAATCTGTGGATTCTACTGAAGTGAACCATTTAGAACTTCTCCAGAACGATTCATGGAGGGATCTTTATGAGTCTCTTCCTGAAGATACCGACACACATCATTATAAGTTGGTAGTTTTTGCTAGACATGGTCAAGGTTACCATAACGCTGCTATTGAAAGATACGGTGAAGATGTCTGGAATGCCAAATGGGCACTTTTAGATGGTGATGAATATGGGAATTGGGTTGATTCCAAGTTGACTCCTGTGGGTAAGAAACAAGTTCAAACCACTGGTGTCAATGTTTTATATCCTTTGACTAGGGAGATAGGATTTCAACCGCATGCTTTTTTCAGTTCGCCAATGAGAAGATGTCTTGAGACATTTGCAGAATCTTGGAATGCCTGTTTCCAACAACTTTCACAAGAATCATACGAAGAGACAATTAGAGTTAAGATTTTGGAGAATATGAGGGAAACTTTGGGTAGACACACTTGTGATAAAAGAGTCGATCATTCTACTACAGTTTCCGAGTACCAACCTTACTCTTTGCAAAGCGGTCACACAATCCATTGGCATTTCGAGGAGGACTATCCAGAATTAGACCAACTGTGGTTATCAGACTACAGGGAGACCGTACCAGAGATGGATACTAGGGTGAAATCAGGTTTAATTCAGATATTCAAAAGCATTGGAAAAGAAGAGAAATTCATTTCTGTCACTTGCCATTCTGGTGTAATTGGAAGTGTTTTAAGAAACTTGGACCACCCTAGAGTGGACAATTTACAAACAGGTAACCTTGTTGTAGCCGTTGTAGAGGTCAACATTGAGCAATTGAATTAATCTCACAAATCGGATTGTATGGATATTTATAAATATACAAACAGTCTCTTTTATTTTTTTTGTTTTGTTTTGAATGTACTTTAAAAACGACAGATTCTTTCAAATTTCACGATTATATACATAGATACATAGAGGGTTATAGAAGATATAGATATGAGTTTAGCGGTTTTGCCCAATAAAAATTATATTTATCCCCATTAGAATTTCTTGTTTCAAAGGTGTGTCATCATCTTCAATTAATCAATTTGAACCCAATCCTTCCACTGGAAGTGTCATCCAAATTATAAGTCAACACGTTAAGAAAAACCAAATACGTCGATATGCATATAGAATCACATTTATAATGATAATGCATACTCATTGAAGTCATCATTGATGTTGGAACCAGCCTTGTTTGTATATTACGCTAAGCCTATACTAATCATTTCGTTCACAATGATATGTTTCGGAATATTGAAAAGGGGCAACAGCGCTTGAGGTCAAATTAGAGCTGAAAAATTGTAATATAAAGAAGTTTAATATAGAATATAAACGCAACTTGAATGAAATAAGTTTATTTAAAGGATCTTTTTTTATATATTGGATTCAGAGAGACCATCGACTAGTTTTTAGGGATACAGGATATTTTAGAACACGGGTATGGCAATTATCAAGAGAGGTGCTCGTAACAAGACCGCTCAAGAGCCGGCAAAGAGGTCAGCCAAGATCAAGAAGGCAACATATGATTCAGGAAAGAAGAAGGAAGTTGGTGTTTCTGATCTTACATTATTGAGTACTATTTCTGATGAGGCTATCAACGAAAATTTGAAGAAAAGGTTCACCAATGGTACTATTTACACATATATTGGACATGTGCTTATTAGTGTCAACCCTTTCCGTGATTTAGGTATTTATACCGATGCAGTTTTAGAATCATACAAGGGTAAGAATAGATTGGAGGTGCCACCACATGTTTTTGCCATTGCTGAGTCTATGTATTATAATTTGAAAGCATATAATGAAAATCAATGTGTTATTATTTCAGGTGAATCGGGTGCTGGTAAAACTGAAGCAGCAAAGAGAATTATGCAATATATTGCATCCGCCTCAGAATCCAATTCTGAATCAATTGGTAAAATCAAAGATATGGTGTTGGCAACCAATCCATTGTTAGAATCGTTTGGTTGTGCAAAGACTTTAAGAAATAATAACTCTTCAAGACATGGTAAATATTTAGAAATTAGATTTAATAATCAGTTTGAACCTTGTGCTGGTAACATTACAAATTATTTGTTAGAAAAACAGAGAGTTGTCAGTCAGATTAAGGAAGAAAGAAATTTCCATATTTTCTATCAATTCACTAAAGGTGCATCCGAAAATTACAGACAGACTTTTGGTGTTCAAAAACCTGAACAATATATATATACCTCAGCAGCTGGTTGTACCTCTGTAGACACTATTGATGATGTTAAGGACTATGAAGATACTTTGAAAGCTATGCAAGTGATAGGTTTGAGTCAAGATGAACAAGATCAGATTTTCAGAATGTTATCTTCCATTTTATGGGTTGGTAATATTTCATTTGTTGAAAATGAAGAAGGTAACGCTCAAGTTAGAGATACTTCTGTTACTGATTTTGTCGCATATTTATTACAAATCGATTCTCAAGTTTTAATGAAAGCTCTAGTAGAGAGAACTATGGAAACAAGCCACGGTATGAGAAGAGGTTCTGTCTATCACGTCCCCTTAAATATCGTACAGGCTACAGCTGTTAGAGACGCCTTAGCTAAGGCTATTTATAACAATATGTTCGATTGGATTGTCGAAAGAGTTAATATTTCCTTACAGGCTTACCCTGGTGCAGACAAATCCATTGGTATTCTGGATATTTATGGTTTTGAAATTTTCGAACATAACTCATTCGAACAAATTTGTATTAATTACGTTAATGAAAAATTACAACAAATCTTCATTCAATTGACTCTAAAATCAGAACAAGAAACATACGAAAGAGAGCAAATTCAATGGACACCAATCAAGTTTTTTGATAACAAGATTGTCTGTGATTTAATCGAATCCAGAAGACCACCTGGCATTTTTGCTGCCATGAATGATTCTGTTGCTACCGCTCATGCCGATTCTGATGCAGCTGATCAAGCATTTTCTCAACGTTTGAACTTGTTTTCCACTAATCCTCACTTTGCTCTAAGATCAAACAAGTTCGTTATTAAACATTATGCTGGTGATGTCACGTATGATGTCAATGGTATTACTGATAAGAACAAAGACCAATTACAAAGAGATTTAGTAGAATTGATTGCTACATCTTCCAATGCGTTCCTGCGTACAATTTTCCCAGATAATGTTGATAAGGATTCTAAGAGAAGACCTCCTACAGCTGGTGATAAAATCATTAAAAGTGCAAACGAATTGGTTGAAACTTTGTCAAAAGCTCAACCATCCTATATTAGAACAATTAAACCAAATCAAACTAAGTCACCAAATGATTATGATGATCAACAAGTTTTACATCAAGTTAAATATTTAGGTTTGAAGGAAAATGTCCGTATTAGAAGAGCTGGTTTTGCTTATAGACAAGTTTTTGATAAGTTTGTCGAAAGATTCTATCTATTGTCTCCAAGTTGTTCTTATGCTGGTGATTATACATGGCAAGGTGAGACTTTAGAGGCAGTTAAATTAATTTTAAAGGAAGCCTCTATACCCGAAAAAGAATATCAAGTCGGTGTTAGTCAAGTTTTTATTAAGACTCCAGAAACCTTATTTGCCCTGGAACATATGAGAGACAAGTATTGGTATAATATGGCGGCTAGAATTCAACGTGCTTGGAGAAGATTTTTGCAAAGAAGAATCGATTCAGCTACTAGAATTCAACGTGCAATTAGGGAAAAGAAAGGTGGTAACAAGTACGAAAAATTACGTGATGAAGGGTCAAAAATATTGGCAGCCAGAAAAGAAAGAAGAACAATGTCTTTATTGGGTTTCAGAGCATTTATGGGTGATTATTTGTTATGTAATGAGCGTAAATCTAGAGGTGCATATATCAAGAAACAAGCAGGAATTTCAGACAAAGTTGTATTTTCTATCAAAGGTGAACAGCTTCAATCCAAATTTGGTAGATCTTCCGTAAGAGTGAAAAAGGTACTCATCTTAACCCACAGTCATCTATATATTATTGGTCAAAGTATGGTTCAAAATTCTGTACAATATACCACAGAATATAAGATAGATGTTAACAAAATAGCAGGAGTCAGTATGACTAATTTACAAGACGATTGGGTTGCAATTAATTTATCAAACTCTACCCAACCTGATCCATTATTACACACATTCTTCAAGACTGAATTGGTCACACAGTTAAAGAAATTAAATGGCAGAATACAGGTAAAAATTGGAACAGTCATTGAATATCAAAAGAAGCCTGGTAAGATGCACAAGGTCAAATCTCAAGTTTCTGAAGCAACTCCAAAGTACAATGATAACTATAAATCAGGTACCATTTTAGTTCGTCGTGGTCATCCAGCAAACTCTCCACAAAAGAAAAAGCCAAAGAAGGGTAAAGGACATTCAAAACATCATAGTACATCTACATCAGCTCCTAGAAGTTCTGTACAAAGCTCTCAACCAAGTGCTCCAGTTTCAAGGAAAACAAAGAAACCAGCACCACCTCCACCAGGATCGAAGAAGTTGTCATCATCTGTAGCCCAAACTGCATCACGTCCACAGCCAGTTGCCAACTCTGCTCGTGGAGCTGCACAACCACAAGCAACTCCGCAGCCAGCTCAAGTGACGCAACCACAGCAAAAGAAGGTTGCACCACCACCACCACCTCCACCTCCAATGCAATCGTCAGAACCCAAATATGAAGCTGCATACGACTTCCCAGGTTCTGGTTCTCCTTCAGAATTACCTCTAAAGAAAGGTGAAGTTGTCTACATTACAAGAGAAGAACCAAGCGGTTGGTCCCTGGCCAAAACTTTGGATGGCTCAAGAGAAGGTTGGGTTCCAACGAACTATGTGGTTAAACACCAAGGAGGTTCTGTACCACCTCCACCACCGGCACCTGCTGCTGTACAAGCTACTCAAGCTGCTAATGTTACAAGCACACCAGTTTCATCTAGCCAATCTGAAACTGCAACAACAGCAACACCTGCATCAGTAGCAGCTGCTCAACCAAATTTCAGTGATGGTCTAGCATCTGCTTTAGCTGCTAGAGCAAACAAAATGAGAGTCGAAAGTGACGGTGAGGATAACGGTAACGATGATGATGATGATGACGATTGGTAATCTCTCTGCCAGAAGTAAAAAAATAACAAACAATCCATAAGTAACAAATTACATTTTTTATATAAAGAACAACTGTATAGATCAATAAAATTTATTCGTTTTACCAAGTTAGTCATAAAACAGAAGACTGTTTCTAAACTAAGTTATCAATTGAATTATCTTTCTTTCATGGTGGTACCTGGTTTAATTCTTCTTTCAGCGACCTTTGCAGGACCTCAGTCGGCTCGGATACGAAACTTTAAAAGCTCATCAACATCATCTATTGATTTAATGATTTAAATGAAAACATTAGAAATGTTATAAGAGAAAGTCTTGATTGGTATTGACAATCAGGTTTCTACTTATACTGTGTTGATTCAACTGATCAGGAGCTTATTACTATATATTTATATATACCAAATATGGCAGAAACAGCAAACAATGGTGAATTACAAAATGTTACTTTAAAAGATATATTCGAACAGATCAAAGAGGTCTTTTCGACCTATATCTCCAGTTATGTTCATATTTTAAACAAGTTTATTGGTATATTACGTAAAGTATCCACTATGAGATTTGAGAGATCAACCTTAATTAAGTACGTAAAGAAATTGAGATTTTTCAACGAAACTTTGTTAAACTATGAGTTTCCTCTATTGACTAGCTCAGATATCACTACAGTTAGATTACAAGTGAAAGCAATAGGTTCATTCTTTATCAAGTTTTTAGAGATGCAAGATATACTGAACTATTATTTGACTCAATCAGTACAGAATGAAGTTATTTCAAAGACTTTGAATTATAAATTGAATTTCCCAGATGCTGCAATCGAACGTATCGAAGACAGTTATAATCATTTTGTTAAGTTTACACAATGGATGATGCAATCCTTGTTAATTGATGATGAATTGTCTCAAATTGAAGTAATCCAATTTTCAATAAAATGTGCAGTTGAAGATAATGTTGATCTTACTCAAACTACAAACATTTTTCTACAAGAAGTTGCCCCTGTCGAATCATTAGCAGAATATATGGAACTTTCTGAAGAATGGGTTGCTATCCTTAAGGATTTGATTGCAAGAATGGAGAACGAATTTTCTTTAGCTGTTGTCCAATGGACTGAAGCCACTGAAAAGAAGAAATAAATTTCGAATGATTTATAGATTACAATAACGCACACACACAAACATATATATATGTGGCAGCAACATACAATACATAACTTTTAATCACATTAAGATACAATTATATAGTTTAATCAATAGACAATTTTATGACAATTCTTTTGATATAGACACCATTGATTCAATCTAGTTCAATTCAAATAGGAAATGAACAATGTTCTTTCTTTCAGTAAAGAAAGACTGAAATTGAAATAGAACAGATCCAAAAAGGCTCCAACTTGTTGTCCCTGTTTATGAACTTAATGCAATTTATATTACCCAATCTTGTAAGTGCAAAGGCTCCACCAGAATCTCTAAAATTGACACTAAATTTCCGAATGATTCAGCCTGGATCACCTACAAAAACTATTAATCCTCCTTCTTATCGTTCAAGATATCCTTCAACAGACTAATCTGTTCTACTAGGACATCTGTATCTTGACCCAAGGCTTTCTTATTAACATTAATTGGAAGAAGTCTTGTCCCTATATTCTCATCTAACAATTGAATCTCTTTACGCAAATTAGTGGTAGCAACATCCAAGTTTAAATAAAACTCTTTCAAATGTTCTTCAAACTGAGGTTTTACCGTGCTATTACCTCTTTTCAATTCACTATAACTATTAACTATTTGCGATGTTTCTTGCAATAATGAACAAAGCTTCAAATCAATCTCATTCAACGATTCCAATCTTTCTTGAACGTATTCTGGCAACATTTCTATATAATTCAACACAGACAATCACAATTAACCTATTCCCAATGTCCCAATTCTTTTTCAACCCTTTCTTTGTACAGGTTCAACCTTTATACTTCAGTTATTTATAATGGTGATATTTTTCAATTTAAACAAATTTCGATACCTGAGACGATTTAAGAGCCTTGACCATAACCAATACTAATAGACAAACCTGAAAGTATATACAGTATACAACAATCCATAAGATTCTTGTAACATACGCTCAACAAGATTTAGTTAATTATACAACTTATTTATTTTTAGTTAGAGCTATCTCTTTTTCCTTCATTTATGACGTTTTTTGGCAGAACTTGATCCTAACAAATCAATGATACTTCTCTTTTTAACCTTTGGAGTCTCAGGTTGGACAATTTCTTCCTTTTTAACCGGACTCTCTTCTGGTTTGATTGGTATATCTTCTGATTTGATCTCAGACTTAATTTCTGCTTTCACTATAGGTTCCTGTTTAATCAATGCATTTTTATCCTTCATTAAAATTGGCTTTGTTAACCTTGACCCTTGATTAGCAACTTTACCCACATCAGCTGAAACTTGGTAGCATAGTATTGTTTCTGGGTTGAACTTCGATTCAAGAGTTTCCTGCAATTCCTCCTGTGTCCACTGTATCTTCCCATTATTTAACCAAGCATCCCATGCCTTTGTATGAGGTTCTAACACTACTGGCATCCTTGGATGAAGCCATCTCAATTCCTTAGGAGCATCATTTGTAACAATACTATAAGTATGCATATCAACAGATTGAACGTGATCGTATAATCCTGCAAGAAACATCAACTTCCCATCTTTTCTCGTTATGTAATATGGTGTCTTTCCCTTGCCATTGGTTTTCCATTCATAATACCCAGATATAGGTACCACACACCTCTTCTTATTGCAACAGCCTTTCCATATCTTACTCTCTAATAAACTTTCAACCCTAGCATTGAACGTACTGTAACTTTTGAATTTAGTAACATCTTTTGTCCAATGGGGAATCAACCCCCATTTCATATAACTCAATTTACCCATGGTATCACCTTCGTTACGATAAACAGCACCTTCTTGAGTAGGCGCAATGTTATAAGCATCAGTATGTCCACCATTATCTGTTTCATCAACAGTATTAATCTCTAGATTAAAAGTACCAATTTGTTTCGACAAATTCTCACTGTCATAAGCTAAAGCATAACGACCACACATGGCTAGTTCAACAATCCCTTTTCTAATAAACCAAATATTAACCAATAGAAACACCCAATTGACCAGGTCCCACTATAAATAGGCCTCTTGAGTACCATTAAAGTCGTAATTTGATCAAAGACATCTTATCTCATGTCACCTCATCTCATTACTTTTATATATCCTTTAATTTAATGACCTTTCGGTGATGATTTATAAAAGTGAAATTTTACACACTAATCGACACTTTAGGATTGATGAATTGAAGTGAATTGTGGTGATACAAGGAGCATTACAGAGTCAAAGAGGTTATCAGATAGTTTACCGATCATTTTATTATTTGGTTCCTTGATTTTGTTTGAGTATGTTTGGTGGTTTAGTCAGGAGACAGGGATTAAGGAGATTACCATCTTTAAGAGGAGCAAATTTGGTAAAATCTAAGGTTATCCCACCATGTAGACGGTTGATTCAGACTACTACTGGTGCTGCTAACTTTGAGAGAAACCAGAAGATTCAGAAATGGGTCTTGTCTTTAGTTGGGGTGAGTTTTGTCAGTTATGGGTTATGGTGGTACTATTGGCCTCATAATCCATTTCCTACCTCTGTAGCTACGATTTTAAGGAAAGGTTTATGGGCAGAGAGTGACAAAGAGAATTTTGATTATGAAAAGGCCTTGAAGATATATATTGATGCTCTGGATGAGTGCAAACATTTGAAGATGGATCCAATAAGTGATGAATATACAGGGATCGAATTGAAAATTGCAGAGATGTATGAAAAGCAAATGATGTTCAATGAGGCAAATGGAATCTATTTGGAGTTATCGTATAGGTTTTATGATGCATTGACTAAACCGGGTTTAGTTCCTGAGGACAGAAGACCAGATTTGATAAGGAGAGATCTTAGAGTTCTAATCAAGTCCTTAGAGATGGGCAAAGATATTTCAAAGGGAAAGAGAAACCTTTTGTCGCATCTATTACTAGCACAAGAAGAAATTTTGACTAGATCTCCAGAGTTGAAAGAGTTCTTCGATCAGAGAAGAAAAAGAACTGAAAAATTATTCCAAGGTAAAGTGTCAGAATCTGAAGAGTTCAAGACTTTTGTTAACAGTGAGAATATCAAGTTGAATGACGAAGGATACATGATTCTAGACCTTCAGAAGAATAGTAGTGCTTGGGAGCCATTCAAAGAAGAATTTTTCACAGCAAGAGATCTGTACACTGCATATTGCCTATCTGATAAAGATTTAACAGCTGCTTTGAGTTGTAAGATGACAACTGTAGAATGGATGATCATGGCAGACATGCCACCAGGTCAGATTCTACTATCTCAGGCTAATTTAGGTTCTTTATTGTATTTACAATCTGAAAAATTCGAGTCTGACATATATCAAATCAATTTAAAGTGTGAAGAAGATGAAAAATTAAAAAACGACAAAACAATAATCAAGGCATTGAGGACTTTAAACAGAAACAAGGAAACATGCCAAAGCATGGCAACACAATGTTACGATAGTGTAGTGCAATTTGCCAAGAAGAATAATAAATTAAGATTCAATTTAAAGGACCAACTAGACCCATCTGCAGCACAAGCAATCGCACTATCCACTTATGGTCTTGGTGTACTAAATTTACACAATGGTGTGCTATCTAAAGCTGAGAGATTACTAAACGATTCAATAAGCATGGCTAGAGAGATTGATTTCACTGAATTGCTCAAAGAAGCAGAAAACGAATTGGACAAAGTCAATAAAGCAAAATCCGAAAGAATGGATAAACAAGAATAACGAATCATGATAAAATAAAAAACCATATATGACCTGAATAAAATCAATCAGTAATCAAATGAACAAATAACATGTAAATATTGTTCCTTTTAGTACTTTATTACCTTCTGCATTATCTTCAAAACAGCAGCACACATCTAAACAGAGATCTAAAAAGGAATCTGACGAGGAACTGAAACATTTTATTATCAATACAAATTCTGGACAAGTAGCTCCTGCTCCATAAGCAGTTAATGCTGACATCTAGGATCTTTATAGTATTATTTATTGCCTTATTCTTATATAATGATGAGATTAATAGATAAAACACACATCGTATTTTGTGATCTCGATCTTGATATCTGATTTCGAAATCCAAATAGCAATGAAAAGTTTAAGAAGAACTGGTTAAACAAGGTACATACATCTTGTTTAAACAAGAATAAGTCGACAAGAATTGGCATTCAGGATACTCTGATTAGGAGGCTAAGATATTTAGGAGGTATATTCTTTTGTATAGGATTGTTGTTTTGGTTTGTTTTGGGAAGCGACAGTTATTGGGATTGATAGATAGAAGTATATACAAGGTAATTTTTGGAAAACATCAAATAAATAAAAATGCCACCTTTGGATAAGAGGATTAAAAAATTTTTACAGAATTCTATTCGAGTAGCCCCTAGGATTTCTGATAAAGGTGAGTTAGGTGAACTTAGAACCGGTCTAGTCTCTCAGTATCCTCAGACTCGTAAAGATGCGATCAAAAAGACTATTCAGCAGATGACTTTAGGTAAAGATGTGTCTTCCTTATTTCCAGATGTTCTTAAAAATATTGCCACTAATGATGTCGAGCAAAAGAAATTGGTTTACTTATATGTGATGAATTACGCAGAGACCCATCCTGAGTTATGTATCTTAGTTGTGAACACTTTTGTTACCGATGCACAAGATCCTAACCCTTTGATTCGTTGCATGGCTATCAGAACTATGTCTATGATCAGAGTTGATAAAATATTGGAGTATATTGAAATTCCACTGCGTAAAACTCTTCAAGATGATAACCCATATGTGAGAAAGACAGCTGTAATATGTGTAGCAAAATTGTTCCAATTGAACAAAGAACTTTGTATTGAATTGGGTGTTTTGGAAGATTTGGTTAGTGCATTAGATGATTCGAACCCAATGGTTGTTGCCAACGCTACTGCTGCTTTGACAGAAATCAGTTGTATGGATCCTACAGCTGTCTCGCTCATCGATTTGATAAGTTCCCACTTCTCTCAATACTTATCCGTTTTGAATGAATGTACAGAATGGGCAAGAATTACAATTTTAACTGCATTAACAGAATACGATGCTAAGGATTCTATTGAAGCGCAAAATATCGTTGATCGTGTTACAGCCCATCTACAACATGTGAATCCAGCAGTCGTTCTAGCCACTATTAAAGTAATCATTAAAAACCTGAATTTAATACAACCACAGGCTAACGATATTGTGATCATGAAGAAATTATCTTCTGCGATGGTATCATTAATGTCAACACCACCAGAAATGCAATACGTTGCTCTAAAGAACATTAGAATTATTTTAGAAAAGTTCCCAGAATTACTAACGAAAGAATTAAGAATTTTCTTCATCAAATTTAATGATCCGTTATATGTTAAATTAGAAAAGATCGAGATTTTGGTAAGATTGGTTGATCCAAGTAATCTAAAACAATGCTCTTTACTATTGTCCGAGTTGAAAGAGTACACAATGGAGTTTGAACCTGAATTCGTTTCAAGATCAATAATTGCTTTATCACAATTAGGTATCAAATACTCTGAAGAAAACTTCATAAGCAAAGTATTAGATATATTATTGGAACTTGCAGAAAATCAAGAAATCTATATGGATGATTGTTGCGTTTCGATGTGTAATCTTTTAAGAAACTGTCCCGACAATGAGCTAATGATAACCAATGTCTGTTCTTTATTGAACTCGTGGTCTGACCCAGAAGCAGTTTTACAAAGGGATGATGCTAAATGTAATTACATGTGGTTAATGGGCCAATATCCTGACAAGTTCCCATCGATGAAGTCTAAGGTGGCTGCATTTGTCCATAATTTTTCAGAAGAAGAGCCATTGACACAAATGTCTATATTATTAACTGTTGTAAGATTGCATAATCGATTAGAAGGTTCTTTATTACAAAAGATATTAGAACTGGCCACAACCGACACACACGAGATAGATGTGAGAGACATGGCGATGATGTACTGGAGATGTTTGTCTATGCCTAATGCTGATAAATTAATAGAACAAATATGTCAATCGATGCCACCAAAGATCGAGAATACATTAGATAAGTTTTCACCTGAAGTACTAGAAAAACTGTTGTTGGAACTATCCACGATAAGCTCTATATATTTCAAGCCAATTTCTGAAAACAAGAAACAATACTCATTGCGTCAAAAAGTGGTGAAGGGGAAGCACCTTGACGAATTGAAAGACCTCGCCAAGTCAGAGATAGCACAGAATGCGAACGAGGATGTTCTTCTTGATTTCGACAACGACGATGATGACGCCAACAACTTGATGAAAGGTAATGGATCGTCAAATCTATTGGAAGAACTAGACGATCTGTTTAATTTTGGCAGCGGCAGCACAAACGAGAACAAAGAAGAAGAAGAGGAAGATACATCTTTGAAGGATCCCATGCAAAATTTGAAATTGAATGGTAGTGGGAGCAGCAACACCGGAGGTGAACCCACTGCCTCATCAAATACCCAAGACTTGTTGAACCTGTTCTAATAAAATTACATTAAAATTAAATATACTGTATATATATTTATACATATCTATAAATAAATAAATATATAGATAACAACAATTAAGATAAGTTCTATGCATTAACTCGAGGATGAGGATGAGGGAGAGGAGGGAAGTGGTTAGTATTGGTATTTTTGTTGAAGCTTATCCCAAATGTATTTGGTGAGGAAGTAACCACTGAGGTTGTTGTCTAATGGCAATACGTCGAATTCGCCGTTTTGCAAATGGATCAACACTTGGTTGTTTTCGGAATCGACTATGACCCCCAAAGATCTGTACAGTTTCAGTTTCAACAAGTTGGATTTAACGACTGGATCTTCGAGAGCAGTTTCGAGGGGAGCAGGAACAGGAGAGGTGGGTGTTGTTGTTGTGGTGCTGGTGGTGGCAGCAAGAGAACGTTCAGCGTTGACCAAGTTTGTAATTTTCGAATCGAGTTTCTTTCGTAGATCGACGACGCTGTTTTCCAAATCTTGCAAACTGTTCAATTCCAGTTCCAAAGTGTTGTTTGAAGAGAATTGGGAAGCTTCATTCTGAATTCTGTTCAAATCCGAGACGAGTATCTCTATGGCGGAAGAAGTGGTGTCTATGTTCAACGTAGTTTCGGATATTTTAAACCTTTGTTCATTGAGCTTATCCTTTGAGAGTTGGTTGAGAGTGTTTATGCTGTTGTTTATGTTTCCGATGGAGTCTATGTCTTGTTGTATTCTGAAGCTTTCTCGTACGTCTCGTAGGAGTTCGTCAGGGTTTTCGACGAGTTGTGGGATCATGTTTTTCTGTGGGGGGAGGTTTGATCTGGATGGGAGGTGATGGGATGAGTCTTGTTTTGATGA